ATGTTAAATGTTGACTGAAAAACAAGCCAAACTCATATAAACATCTCTTCTGTCAGTCTAAAACCAGGAACCTGCCTTTCAAAATAAAGTTAGAACCCCAAGTGCGTGATGAGATAGAGCACACAAAATTTAAATAATTTAAATAAATAATGTGGTTTTGCTGCCTTTTCCTAGTAAGATGGTAAAAATTCAGCAATTTCTTTGTCCTTTAAGCTTAAATATGTTTGCCTGCAGCTCTTTGTGCAATGTTTTAAGTTTTTTGGGAAATGTTTGTTTTATTACTTCCTTGTATGAATATTATTGTGTGATGATACCGAGAGATAGGTTCTATCTATATTACCCTTATTTGCAAGAAGTTCTCTCTGTATTCTAAAATAAATAGTGAACTTCAATAAAAGCATTAAATCTGCAACAATTTTATTTAATAGGCATTGTAAGTTTGTTAGTATAATTTTGTCAGATAAAATTACATTTTTATTAAACTCAAATAATGAACAGAATTATCAAAATCTTGTTATTGTTTCATAGTTTACATTTCAATAGAATTGAGCACATAAGAAATATGAAAAATATTTTTCAACAAATATCCCTAGATTTGTCCCTTATTTAACTTTAGTGTTGGATTTCACAACAAAAAAAAATGTGTGTAGTTTTCAAAACAGCTTTGGAATTCTAAGCTCGATTGTGGGAGTTCTAAAGGCACATGCACACCTCCTGTCATGCACCAGTTGAGCAGAAAGAAACTAAACATTTCCTTCTCTAACTGGACCCATGCTTTGTCCAGAGCTAATGTTCCTGCCGTTCTCTTCTTGCATATTCTTTGCCCTCTTTCTTAGAGAGTATAGATGGAACAACCCAAGAGTGTGCTCATGAGACAGTGTATGTATGCTTTGTTTCAACTGGTTTGTTCCTCCAAGTCTCTTGGAAATTAAAACACTGATTACTTTTTAATCCTCAAGTTAAAATATTTACTAGAAATTTATTCTGAGCTGGCACAAATTGCATCTTGTATATTGTTATGGTAATTAGTGTCATCAAAGTAAAGGAATGTTCAGAGTTTAAAGTGTCCTTATTACTTGTCAGTGCCTCCTGAAAGTTAAGATTCGTGTCAGAACAATTGTGAAAGCTTTAGGTGACAGTAGTGGAATTTCTATCTTAAAATTCCTACTTTAGCTTTATGAGCTTTGAGCTGAAAGTGTTCTATTAATCTTTGGGAAATTAAAATCCCTTTAATGGATTTGGCATATTCTAAATAAAAACGTACTACCATTCTTTAAAGGCAAACAAGAAACAGTCAAAGTAAAAATTCACCAGGTTCTTGTGAATCTAAATTACAATAAATTAGTAGACAACTGGGTAGTCTGGTTTGCCTTACTCATTTGCAAGCAGCATCTGATGTGAGTTGAATTTAAATAATTAAGAAATTACACTGAAACAGAAAATATTAAGGACCCTTTCCACAACTTCTAACAATGCCTTCTCAGATTGCCAGCAAACTCTTAGAACTCCTAGACCCCAGCGCTCTTCTCTCTGGCTTCCCTCCTAGTCATGTCTTGGCTACTATCCAGAGCTGACAACTTTCACCCAGGAGCAAAGGGAGATTTGTCTAGAAGAAGAAGGATTTTTGAGTCATCCTCGATTTTCCTATCCAGATGGGCAAGGAGGAGGGGTGGCAATATCGTTGTACATACTTGCGTGATGTCATTATGGCACATGTGCACTCCACCCATTAATTTAGTCCTGATGGCAAAGTTCTGACATCCTTATTCAGATATTCCTCACTTGAAACTTTAATTTAGCAATTCCAAAATTAAGGTAGAAATGTTGTTGAAATATGTGTTTTAGGTCTTGATGCATCATAGATTCTGTCACTTCTTCATTTTCAAGAAAAGACCAGGAAATTTCACATCTTTGCTAATAAATAAAAGTGCTTAGATCCAGGAGGATAAGAATATAGAGGTTCTATGTCAGAACCCCCACTTCAGTCACTGTGCTAAAGATTTTGAAGCACCACTGGCATATTACGATAATTTTCATGTACAGTGTACTCCTGACTAACTGAATTGTGGTTATTATGCTTTCAGGGGTTTTCTAAATGAGTTAACTTTTGTTCTTTTATGTAAATTCACCTACCTTTACCTAAAAGACCATTTGATAGTAATACAGTGACTTGAAGAACCTTTTAATAAGCACAGCTCTAAGGTAATGCCACACTAGTGACCATATTCTAAATGAATTTCGAACATACACGAGCAATCACGTCTTTTGAATCTTTTAAAAAAAATGCATTTCCATGCTCAGGTATCTTTTTATATTCCTAAAAATAGCTAGAGACCCGTTATGTTTATTATAAAAACAAAGGTTATACCTGTCAGAAAACTATTGTTATTCTTTTATAGTTTTACATTATTCTTATTCTATACACGATTTCAGATATTTGTATAATTGTCACATTGTACGAACTTGAAAAATAACTGCAAAAAGCAGTAAAATAACTGTTTGGTGTAACTTCTCTTTAGTGACAGTATACTTAAATGTTTATTCTTAGCATAAAGCTTCATGAAAGCTTTTTAGATAGATTTTTGTTCATAATTAATAACTGACACAATTGTAGAGCTTAGAAATACAATAAGTAAGCTACATTGAGTGACTACCTTTCTGAGAAATTTTGAAATCAGGCTGTACATGCTGTTTTATATTTAGAATTCATTAATTTTCTTCAGTGAATATAATTAATTCACACATGTCTTATAAACTGTTTTTAAACGACCTAAGAGATTGATAAATATTACAGCTTTTAGTGGTTTATTAGTTAACTATAGGGTTAAATGAATGAAGGAAATAGCTGTGTGCAGTTGGTCATTTAAATACACAGCACTTCTCTACTGTTGGACTAGGACTCAGCCTGTCTTTATACCTTACAGTTCTACTAATCATATAACTGAGAAGAACCACGTTGGTATATCTGAAATCTTGAATAGGTGAATGCTAACAAACTCGGATATTTAGATACAGAGACACTGCCTTTTATTTACACATAAAAGTAAATCTGACCTTGTTGATTAAGAAATACTGTCAGTTGCCTTGATAGCTCTTGCTCATCTGAAGGTCCATGATATAAGTACTCTTCTCAGTAGACTTTATACTAAAACTGAAATGATAGGAGCCTGCTGCTTATTATCCAAGATTCTTCTTGATAGGGAAACCACATGGTTTTTCTTCATCTCCCACTTGTTCTCACCCTTTACTACCAACCCAGCCACACCCCACCCCCACCCCAACATTGTTCAGTACTCAGCACAATGAATCATTTTCAAGTTGACTCATTGTGAACTGTCTCCCAGCTGTTGGAATGTCTGGCAGACATTTTTGTTTGGGTGAAGAATAACTGGCTGAAACCCAACCTGGATGAGTTTGATTTAATGGTCTTTGGCTAAGAAAGTATTGAGAGGAATATGTTTCTGGCCTCTGAAGCCCCTGTTATTCCTGGAGTAGTACCATTCTCTGTGGCACAGCACTGAAAGTAAGGAATCAATCTGGATTATTTTCTCATCATTGAGTGAAGAATTGCCTTAGGAAAATAGCCATTTGCAGATTTTGTATGTATACTATACTTAGTGTGCCCATATAATTGAAAGTTTTTTAAAGAGAAAGAAAACTTTTTTACACTGTCTTCTTTTAAGACCAAAGACTAGAGGCTGAAGTGTTCTCCACACAATTTGCATTAATCCAATAGAAAAGCTTCAAATACTGCCTAAGGTGTAAGCTAACCAACTATTTGAGCAGAATGTTTGGAAACCCAGACTACTGAGCATTTCCCTTTGAATCATATAGTATCAACATACCCTCTTTTCCTATCTACTCTCATCAGTCTTTACAAAAACACTAAAGAGACTATTGCCAAACCCGGGAATAGTCATGAAGCTATTGCAAACTGAAAACCTTCATAGTCTCTCCTCTAACAGAAGACATTGTACCAAACAGGCCAGTTTTCTTGACTACCTTACATCTCCCATCCTTCCTTTTAAAATTAGTTTTTAAACTAATGAATATTGCCAGTATATAAAATGAGGGTTTCAAAATCCCCAAATTGTACAAATAATGATTGATCTCAACAAACCTATATCTGTAGAGCAAAAATGTCCTGATGAATTGGATTACGAAATTACTGGGTGGTGTTTTTTTTTTTTTTTTTTTTTTTTTTTTTTTTTTTTTTTCTATCACTCTGTCAGAAGCTACAAGAAATACTGAATCTCCATTAAGTAAAATAATTGCAAAAGCTACTGGCTAGTCAATTTTACTTTCCTAGCTTAGGACCATGTTAATACATTGTTTTTATCGAGCACCATGACATTTCCTAAACTGTTCTGTTTAGTACTATTAGATTCATCTCAAGCTATGTTCAGAAAGAAGGTGTTGGCCATTGGTCAGTGCTAGTCACAGTTTCTTTGCCTTTGTTTTTGCTCTGGAGCCAATGGCAGCATCTGGAAAGGGACCCCAAAGACTCCAAAACTATCCATTTTGCAACCCCTTAGCCAGACCGCTCCTTGTTTCTAATATGTCAAAGAAGACCTGAACTGCTACAGGGCTGAGACCTAGTCTCCACTGATATGCAGCAGGGGGACTCTTGCCCTGCTTTGCATAAATCCCATTGTCTGCCAAATTCTCCAGCAGACTGGAGTAAAGTAATATGAAAAACAATAATGTATAAGAATATGTATAGCCTCATTCATTAGGCCAAATGAACAGTCGTTCATGTTTGCTAACAAGTTTCACCTTTCCTTTAACTTTTTAAATTAACGTAGGATATCTATATAGATCAGACCATTCAACTAGGAGACTATTTCATTTGGTTTTCAGACTCTAGTAGCTTTTAATTTTTATTTTCTAATATTTCTTATCTCCACTATAATTTGTTTTCAAGATGACATAGTTGTCCTGTATAGATGTTTATTTTATAATTAATTATAACATGAGTATTACATTTCTATGTTTTTCAGAATGAAGCAGTTATTACTCGTGTGAGAAATTTGTCAGATACTGCAGTTGGTCTGGAATCTTTTATTGGTTCAGAGAAAGAAACAAACCCATTATATAAGGATTATCATGGTAAGCATCATCTTTATTACGACCAGAACATGTTCTGAGTGCTTCTTGCATACCTGAAAGCGTCCTCCTGGTCTAATCATAATATCTGCTCTAGCTTAGTGGACTTTTATTGCACCCCACATCGGTTAAATATTTTCCCTTCCTGGTTAATAATTCTATTTTAGCCATTTGTCAAACCAAGATTGCAGATTATGATAACTGAAAGTAGTCAAATCCAAGGTCTGAAGTATTGTTGTGCCAATGGCATGGTGTTTCTATGAACTAGCCATATATATCAGCCATATTTGAGATAACTGTATTACAGATATCCCTAATTTTAAAATATAACATATGAAGCGCTTCTGGTCCAAAGCAGAACGCATCAGATGGGGGAATGCGAGTCAAATAATCCCCAGATAACTCGAAATAGAATATACTAAAGATTTTCTTTTTTTTTTAACTTTTTTTTTAACTTTTTTTATTGAGAAAAGAAAAAAAAACAAATTTCCACCTCCTCCCAGCCTCCCATTTCCCTCCCCCTCCTCCCACCCTTCTCCCCCTCCTCCCACCCTTCTCCCCCTCCCCCCACTCCTCTCCCCCTCCCTCTCCAGCCCAAAGAGCAGTCAGATTTCCCTGCCCTGTGGTAAGTCCTAGGTCCTCCCCCCTCCGTCCATTTCTAGGAAGGTGAACATCCAAACTGGCTAGGCTCCCACAAAGCCAGCACATTACGTAGGTTCAAAACCCCATGCCATTGTCCTTGGGTTCTCATCAGCCCTCATTGTTCGCCATGCTCAGAGAGTCCAGTTTTATCCCATGCTTTTTCAGTCACAGTTCAGCTGGCCTTGGTGAGCTCCCAATAGATCAGCTCCACTGTCTCAGTGGGTGGGTGCTCCCCTCGTGGTCCCGACTTCTTTGCTCATGTTCTCCCTCCTTCTGCTCCTCATCGGGACCTTGGGAGCTCAGTCCAGTGCTCCAGTGTGGGTCTCTGTCTCTGTCTCCATCCATCACCAGATGAAGGTTCTATGATGATATGCAAGATATTCGTCAGTATTGCTCTAGGCTAGGGTCATTTCAGGTTCCCCATCCTCAGCTGCCCAAGGAACTAACTGGGGACCTCGGCTTGGGCATCTGGGAGCCACTCTAGGTTCAAGTCTCTTGCCAACCCTAAGGTGGCTCCCTTAACTAAGAACCATGCGTGCTCAAATTTTGCATGCAAATGGATGGAAATAGAAAACACTATCCTGAGTGAGGTAACCCAGACCCAAAAAGATGAACATGGGATGTACTCACTCATAATTGGTTTCTAGCCATAAACAAGGGTCACGGAGTCTACAATTGGTTATCCCAAAGAAGCTAAGTAAGAAGGTGAACCAAAGGAAAAGCATATAGTTGTCCTCTTGGCTATGGGAAGTAGACAAAATTGCCGGGGAGAAAATTGAGATCTTGGGGGTGGGGTGGGATGGGGGTAAGGGGAGATGGGGAGAGAGGGGGGAGAGGGGGAGAATGGGGGGAGCTTGGGGAAGGGGGAGGATTGGGATAAAGGAAGATTTTCTTTATTAAAAACGGAAACTCATGGAACAGGAACGGGTATCCAACATCTACGTGTGGAGTGCAGGGAGAGAGCGGTGAGCGGGCGGACTGTGAATTTTTGGTACCCCAAAGCCATGCTTCAACCTGGTCCAACCTCTCAAAGGTCATTGACTGAGGAAGGTTCCCCATCACCTCCCCGTTTTGTCTAAATAAGAGAGTTCCAGACTCAATACAAAACTATATACAGTAAGAACAGATATCTAAGCATTTTGAATAATGAAGAGTCAATCTCTAACAGCTTAGAAGCATTTCTATTATATATTTGTAAAGTTTATACTTAACAAAGCTAGCTGCATGGTAAGTTACATTCTAGATGAGATTAGCTCAATGGTAGAACATTTGCCTGTTATGCACAAGGCCATGGGTTCAATCACCAGCACTAACACCTTAAAAGGGGGGTTATATATTACCTTATCATGCCGACATAAACCCAGTATTGATTGACATTTCACTATATTGCATTTTTGTTTTGGTTTGTTTTCTTTTTGATGCTGGAAATTGAACCTCTGATCTTGTGTATTCTAAGTATAGATTCTACCACTCAAGACTTTTCTCCCTTTTTAAAGTTTTAAAAATGCTTTGGTTATTTGGCTAATTTTCAATTTCTTTTAAGAAATATTTTTTCACATAAGGATTTGAATAATAGAAGGTTAGTGGTTATGTGTGTCTTAGGTCTAAACTCAATACAAAGTGTATAAATGACACTTTTACCTACTATATATTCTAAATAAACATAATTATTGATATTATTTTGGAATCTGTACTTTGAATTTCTAGACTAAAGATTTACCAGCTTGCTTTAAGTTTGCTACCTTTGTGGCAACAAAGTAGTTACTTTGCTGACATATAAGATTCTATAAAAAGGGCACTGAAGATGATAGGGTACTTTGTTAGTGCTATGAGAAGTCAGCCTTTAGAACAATGATGAAAAGGCATAAGCTAACAAGTCTTTTTTTTTTTTAAACACTTAAAAGCCTATAAGTTGTAAACCACAGCCACAGTAAAATAATGTGTCTCCTGATTGCTAACCAACTAAGTGTACATATCATATATGCCCAGGTTAAGCCTACATCAGGTTTATTTAATTTGTCGTTTTTTACTATGATGAAAAGAGACCTAAGATAATTTGGCTATTTTAAATATATTACTATTTTATTTTCTTTTTTAAAAAATCAGTTTAGATGTTACCTTAGTAAGTTACATTACATTTTGTAACCATTCATTTATAAAGTTACTGAAATTATGTTTTATATTCTACGTATATTTTGGTTAAAACATTTCGAAGATTGAACTGTCATTGTTTATGCTAAAAATGTATGAATCAGTAAATTATTCTCCATGTGTAAGAATAATTCTGATTATTTGTAAGTTTTCTATTACTAAGAAGGACCTGATAACAAAATAATTAATGAATTATATAAGGCCTCCTATCTTAATAATTACCTAACAAGAATGTGTACTCTTAAGAGTGAAATGAGAAATGTGCTGTCCTTATCTCTATTAAGTAAATGTATCTTACGAAATAAGTATGTATGCGATATTTTAAGCTGTTGTCTTAATGAGAAGTAGGAGGTAAATATGATCAAAATACATTCTATGAAATTCTCAAATAATTTTTTGCCATATTATATTTAAAATGTAAGTATTCTTATTGTAGTGAATTATTTTGAAGAAGTTGTTTGTAACAGTGAAGTTACTTGAAAGCTTACACTTTAAACTCAGGCATACTCATAAACAAGCAGTTCTGTAAGTAAGGTTTATCTATTCCAGTCTGAAATTTGCTATTTCATATTCCAAGTTCAGGGATCCTGATCCCTGAGATGGTATTTTTAAATATGAGCTGAGTCAGACAAAAAGATGTGCTGAAGAGCCTTCCATGTCTTCATCTGTGGGAACTGACCCCTAGTTTAGTCAGGAACTGCACAAAAGCCTTCCAGTGCTTTGTCAGGAAAGATTAGCAAGTGTTTCAGCTGATGAGGCCCGAGCTCATGATTTACCTTGTGCTGCTGCAGAGCTCCTAATGGCCACATAAGGGCCTAACGTGCCAGAAAAATCAGTGTTTCCGGATGGCATGCAGACTAATGTTTGATCCTAGACTGTACTGAAATGTAGTTTTCTTCAATAGTTTGCTCAGTGTACAAAATAAAATACTTATTATTGGTGTTTTGCGGGTTATCAGTAACCCAAGAACCTTGTTTTACTGGCTGCTTAGTGGTGCATTTAATAAAATAAAGATCACTCAGTGGTGCTGTGGGCAGCATGCAAGGTGATAGCCATATTTGCTTACTGTAAATACGAAAGAAAATCACACGCAGACCGGCTGTAGTTTTGACAAGTATTAAGATCCCTCTTTACATCTGTACTCCTGAACCAAAGTGCAATTAGTTTTCCTCGCTCAAGGATTTCTGTTTATCTTATTCTGCTTGATTACTTGAGTATAATCACACCGTTTGCTTCACTGCTCCTGGTAGTCAGCTCCAGTTTTAAAGGGAGGATGCGTGTGTGAATTTACAGATTCTGCTGTAGGACTCTTTAATTTGTGCCTCTGATGACAGCACTTAAGGCTTTTTCTTTAATTTCCTTTCTATGAGGTTTGATCTATATACGGAAGATTCCCCGGCTTAATAACTTGACTTGTGATGAATCGGATGTCAAAGACTTAGCTTTTAAGTTAAAAAGGAAGCTGTTCTCCATTGAGGTAAGGGAATTTTTATGTTTTAGTTTACTGTCTTAAGGTAAATGGTTTCCCTCACCCCTGCTTTTCACTCTAATAAAACATCTAAGACCCATTTCTGGGTACAAATTAAGTACTTTTGTTATAACAGGCTAATTTTGTTATATTTTCCTCCATTCTAATTGTGTTGTTATTCAAGTATAGCAAAAAATGTTTTAATAGCTGTTAGCAATAAGCTCCAAACTCAAATGATAAATACGACGTGTATCTCCAAGGCTTTTGAAAGCTTTTAATTAAATGTTAATGAGCTGTGCTTACAATGTGTGGAATATGAATGCTACCCACAACTGTGTTTGGATGAGAAGTTCATCCCTACCTCCTAAAGGTTTCTTTGTTTGTTTGTTTGTTTTGTTTTGTTTTTAGTATTAGGGAGATTACATTCAATTTTTAAAATGGTGAATTAAAGTGTGAGTTACACTAGTGGCTGTAAATAAATTTTCTACATGTAGATTTTGTGACCTTTCTGCAAGCAGGATGACAGAAAGTGACACAAAAGAATTTTTTCAGCTTAATCTTGCTAAAGAGCAAATGAATGTGAAACTATTAAGCAATTAGGCTTGATATATTTATTAAAGAAGTAAATGTTCAGAGAGATGGCATTTGGGTGGTGTGATAGTTATCAGTATAGTTGGTGCAATTTTTTTTAACAAAGACATAAAACAGCCAAACTGCCTTGACAAACCATTTTGTTTAATCTCTTTTCAAATGAAAAGCTCTTAAGCAGGCCACTTGTCTTAACTGCTTGAAACCATAAAAAGAGAGAATTACCACCAATAAATTAGCATATTTTTAACTTCATCACCAAATGATGGTCAATGTGGCTTGGCACGGCTTTGGTGTTTGGGACTTCACCCTTAAAGTGACCACTTTGGCCCTTCTTTGACCCTCTGCCCTCTTTAAGCTGGCCACTTGATAAGGTAACTTAATGGCTCTCTCTCTCTTTCTCTGTCTCTTCACATTTACAAGTAGCACTAACCTATAAATCATCATAAGGGTCCTATCCAGTGACAAATTAATGTGCCCTCCTCCTAATTAATGGTCATCAATGTCCTTAATTATCTAATCCTATTGAGAACAGTTAATAGTTAATCGGGCAGCCAGTTCTTCAGGCAGGTCATCTCTGCAGGAGTGTTAGAAGTTCCTCATCTGGGGAGTACCCTGTTCAAAAGCCACTTAAAGCCCAAAGAGGTTGTGTAGGAATAGTGATTCTTGAGCTAATTTGCTTTTATTTCTCAAAGGAAACCATTGAAATGGAACCCAAGACTGTAACTGTGCCAACATTGTCTCAGCTTTTCTGATGGAATATTGAGTGACTTACTATCTTAAACATTTAGGAAACTAGGTTATAGCTTATTGTCTGGCAAAAGTATGCTTGCTTGTTAAAGCTGAATTTATGTTTCAAATGAAAGATATAAAATTTTCCCTCCATGTGATATTCTTCTAAATAATTTTTAAAGCATGTCTAAGATATCGTTTTTATTATGGACAAATTAAGCAAGGAGAATCTCTCCATGGGAAAGTTACTGTGCCCAAAATAAGAGTTGTGTAAATCCTACTTATGACCTCACTCACAAGTGTCTTGTGAGGAGTAGAGAAAGGGGAAATATAGGGCCTGTGTAATGTTAAGTGAGACATTCTCCCTTGAAGAGCTGTAGGTTCTAGTAGAGAATGTTGATTAGCCACATAGGCTTCTTGCTACTATACAAAACTAAAAGAATCGCAGTTGTCTCCCTGTGATTTGGAAGCAGTATTTGAAAACAAAATAAACAAACAAAAAAAGTCACATTTTAAAGAAGTTAATATTCAATACAGTCAATCAAATCCTTGTCACGTTGGTTTAATCTAGTCAGTAAAGATATGATGATTTATAAAATAAAAATTCAGATAAAAGCAATTTTAAATGACAAACCTAATAGAAATACAAAAATCTTGGTTTGTTTGCTTTTTGATTTTGTCTTGGTTTTTGTTTGTTTTTTTTGAGACAAGGTTTCTCTATCTACTAGCCCTGGCTGTCATAGAACTTGCTTTGTAGGCCAGGCTGGCCTCAAACTCAAGAAATCTGCCTGCCTCTGCCTCCCATGTGTCGTGATTAAAGGCATGTGCTACTACACTGGGCCATAAATCTTTTTAATGTTCTGACATTTTTTAAAAATAAAATGCAAGCTATACTCCTGGAAGAGTCTGAGGTGGAAGTGCTCTGGGCATTGAATCTGGGTGTTATTCCCAGAATCAAACGCTAGCTAGGTGGGTAAAGCACAAGTAACTTTGTTATCCCATGCAGGCAGACTTATTACAAACTGGGATGTACCTGAAGTCATATGAGTCACAAATGAGGGGTGGTTGGAGACAAGAAGCAAAGGCAGTGTGGGATGGAGCAGGTGTTATTAAAGCCTCTTTAGCCATTGGTCTTTGCACATGACAGGTGGGGTAATACAGTGCTTTCCAACTTTAAGTGACTCAAAGACAGAATGGTATTGTCTCCGTTTTGGAGTATGTATTGATTTTGTCAGATTCAGGAGAAAACATTTATCACAATAGATTATTATACTTCTCTGTAACTATAAGGCTGCTTAAGTTAGACCTTATGAAATACATGGCAGAATCCTGTCTACAGTGCTGACACTGAAGCCCTGAGTGGTGACACTGCAGCTCAGGTGCTATCTGTCATAGCCTCAGTAGATGTGTGTCTGTGCCTGAATGTGTGCTGTGTAAAGGGATGAATAGAATCTGTAGATGGCCTAAATGATACAGCTGTGTGTACACAGCTCTATAGTGGCCTCACCACTGAGCCAAGCTGACTGCTTAAACTTATGATCTTTTAAGTGTGGCAGTTTGTTTTCTTTGATAATGTTGGTATTATCGTTAATTAACTTTTCTTTATAATTATGATGCGTAGTCAAGTAATATGGTAGGATTTGAAGTATGTCTGATTGGAATTTGGAGATACCATAGAGACAGCATTTTCTTGAATGTAATATCATTTTGATTTTGTATTTTTAGCTTTCATGTTCTGCTAATTGAATTTCCTAGCAAGTGATAATATATTATTACATTAGTTACAGCATCTATAAGATTATTACAAAAAAGCTTTCTCCTTATGGAATAGTTTTTCAACCGTAAACATCAAAGTTTCTAGGCTCCAGTTGGGAAATGTGACAGTTGAGGTGGACTGAAATTCACAGAAAGTGCATCCTGTAACTACAAATGTTCAGTAAATAGAGGAAGAACAGTTATGGAGGTATGAACTGGTCCAAAGATCACAATCAACATAATTAATATATCTGAGTCCTATAGACTGAGTATTGAGAGCAGATTCTGTCAAAACAAATCGAAATTATTCAAGATTAACTTGTGATACTTTGAAGCCGGTTCAGAATGAGACCTCAATAACTCTCTAGTTGTCATGACTTTTTTCTCACAAAATAATTGGCCAACCAGTTATTAAAAACTAGCTATTCTTGGAGTACTTACTAAACAGATTCTCTTTTATCTATTAACCAAAATTGCATGTACTATTGGTGTAAATTAGCTTAATAATAATAGTATAGCTTGAAGAAACATCATAGCATTATCGGAAATGTTTAAATTTTGTAAGCTACAAAGACCCCCCCCCCCCCCGTACCACTAGTCACTGTGATAGCATTAATAGTTCAGAATGTTGCTTGGTTTCATCAGCTATGAATTTACTTCTCCAAATTTATATTTCTAAGGCCTTCCCAGTTGAAAAATAGGAAGGTAAAATATGTTTATTATACCCAAAGATGAAGAAAGTGGAGGGAAACTTGCCTATCAATTCACAATTATGTTACTGAAAGATTCATAAACATCCAACTTGGAAACCTTATTAAGTGGTCGTGTCTTGAGCTATATAGTCTAATTAATATAGCTTTTCTGATAATACTGTCCTTGATAAATATTTGTTACTGTGTAAGTTAGCTTATATTCATAGGTATGCTGCCAGTACCAAAGCTAAAATATTAACTATAAGTGTCTGTTTATCTGAATGAAATCTCGTGTCAAAAGTAAACCCAAGGGAAGGGAATGGCACAGTAGATAAGATGCTTTCTGCATAAGCTTGAAGACCTAAATTTGATCCCCAGCCACATATAAAAGCCAGATGTGGCCATGCACACCTGTAACCCTAACACTGGAAAGGCAGAGACAGATGGTCCCTGAGACTCACTGGCCAGCCAATCTTGCCAAAAGTGAGAGCTTCTGGTTTATTGAGAGACCTTGTCTCAAAACATAAGGAGACAAAGAAATAGACGAAAATGCTTAATGTTACCATCTGGCTTCCACATGTACCTGCAAGATGAACATGCCTTCAAGTGCATGCCTGCTCACGTGCACAAGTTCATTCTCTCTCTCTCTCTCTCTCTCTCTCTCTCTCTCTCTCTCTCTGTCTCTCTCTCTCTCTCTCTGTCTCTCTCTGTCTCTGTCTCTCTCTCTCACACACACACACACACACACTACATTTTATAACAGTAGGTTGTAATTTTTATATATTCACATTTTAGATGTACTATATACATATTTTCACTTTAATTCTTTAGTCATATAGTCTTACAGCAGTGTCACAGATTCTCGGAATCTCAAGAAGTTGGTTTAATTCTTACTATATATATATTTTACATTACCATAGTGAACCTATCAAAAGTGCATACCACCTTAAGGGGAACACAGTTGTGAGACTCTGTCTAATCCTATTTCTTCCAACTTTGGAATCTTAATTAGAAGAGATGGGGGGGACATCATTTAACTAAATTATTGTCGTGAATCTGTAGCAAAAGGTATAATCCTCAATTGGGCCAATTAGTGAACCCCATAGTTAGCTGTGCTGCAGCGAACAATTTGATTAGATCTGACATTGTCCTAGTTCCCACTGTTGTTTTGCCAGGTATGATGGTCAGACTTCAAAGAGCCAGAGGCATCAGCAGGGCAAGGTTTGGAGGCCAGCTTAGGTC